TCGATATTCCCCCATCTAATAGACTTTAATTCAACGTGCGTGCAGGAACCAGAGCCGTTCCCTTGTGAAAGGCCCCACAAGTTCCACGTCCTTCAACGACCTTGAAAGTCCTTCAAAGAAGTTTCTTCTGCGAGCTCCATTAAGTGGACTCCCGACGCTTCGATTGCGAGCAAATTGTGGCCCCCCCACAACTCAAGGCCGAGATTCATTCATCTCATCTGGATGAACACGTGGAGAGCGAACGAAATCTCTTCCCATTTTTTTAAATCGATGTTCCTTGACTCGCCGGAAGTTCGTGATTGCATCTTGGAAGCAAGCGGAGGAACATGAAAACTATTTATATTTTTCATCAACATTTTCCCCAACCAAAGTAAAATTATTGCGGTTTTGTTCTTGGAATGCCCGTTCGTTCAGCTTGCAAGTCGTGCCATTTGCATACCCACGAACCGATATGCAATTCTGATTCACGGAATCCTCTCCTGCCGTTCACGGGTCGTCTGGTGACTTCCTCGAGATCGGAACAGTGCAGCGAGGACCGCAGCTTAGGTGTTGCCACCCAGAATGTGCAGTACAGGCGGGCGGTCTGGAACTCTTGAGTCCCGAGAGGAACGAAAGGTTTAAACGAAGCCTGGATGGAGCTAGGATGTTAGACGGCTGTGTATCCATGCAAAGTGGGGTGAGAAATGCGGACATCTTCGAGAAGTACTGGGTGTCGCGAGGCTCCTCAATCCCCTGATTATGTAGGAAAAAAAAAATCCCGACTCAAGGGTCTTGTGCGGCTCTCGACGTTAAGCCAAGAATCTAGGGCTTCTCCATGGTCAAAAGCAACAATCGTCTCAGGATAAATTGCGGAAGGATGAGGGAAGGATTAAGCATTTATTTGCTGAGTCCGCTAAAACGATGCGGGTAAGTAGAAGATTGGCAACGGTTGATTGCAACTTTGAGTCGAATCGCAGTCCGGTCGAGGCTGAACCGCCGCACTTTCCCTGTCGCTTCGCAGTGGACTCAAACGATGATTTCATAGGTGGAACATACGAGGTGCAGTCAGAAAGTCCGAACGGCGTGCTTCTGGCATATGTATCTGGAATTAGTTTGAATAAATTACGGTTGGACAAGGTATTATGATCAGTTGTGAGTCAGACAGCACATTGTGAAAATTGTTGGTATTGTTGTTTCTGTGCAGCATTGGTTTTTCGACACAGAGTTTCCCCTACTGTCTCTGAGCAATGGAGTTCGCGGAGAAAGAACAAAGAACTGTGATGAAATGTGTGTGATCTGTCAGGCCCCTCCAATGAGAAAGTTCTTTATGCTATTTTTCTGGACAAACTGGATTTAGTTCTACCTCAAGTAGTTCCTAAAGGTGCAACCAATAATGGAAGCTACTACAAACATGTGTTACAAACTGAGCTTTTACCAGCAGTAAACAAAATTGCATCCGTTGAAGGCCAATGACTGGTTGATTCTTCACCTGACAATGCACCACCACTCAAGGCAGGTGTTGGAAGGGAGATTTTTAAAGAAAATGGTATCGAGGCCTTGCTCCATCCCCACTCACCAGACCTGGCAACCAACGACTTTTTGGTGTTCTCAGTAACTCCAGGATTCGTTACAGAGTAAAATGTATGGCTTCCTCCTGCAGTTTTCCAGTGGTTTCAGCATACACCTGAAGGAGAATTTGCCAAGTTCTTCAGAGACTGCCAACAAAGGTGGAAACTGTGTGTAGGTAAAGCAGGTGATTACGTTAAGATGTGAAGGCAGTTTCTATTCAGAACTCCTGACTGTAAATGAAATATTAACGGTATGGACTTTCTGACTGCACCTCGCGAATCATGAAATTCAAATTCCAGTCGCGTTTCGATGTTCGACAGGAATTAGTCGCGAGGAAAGGTTAACCCAGGGACACTAAGATCCTCTGCCTGAGTTCGGAAGGGCGACTAGAAAGGTGAAGGTTGGAAAAATATGTCTGCGTGTCGGTGTCGATTTGCCCACTCCAAACACGGGGCCAAATCGAATTTTCCCACTTCTCGGTTACTGGTTAAGAATAAGGGAATTATAAGTGATTCGAGAGAAAAACCCGAAAATTGCCGCCCTCCTACGGTTTCGAGTCGAACTCGAAACTGAAAACCAGTTTTGAAAGCTCTCTCTCCGAGTCGTCTAGAAACTTCGATGAGGATGCGGAACGCTGGGCCTGGCTGGAGCTTCTCGCATTGAGAGAGTGCCTCCAGGGTCGAAATGCATGGTGGGCGCCGTCCGGCTCATGCTGGGATGGCGGATGTCGGGGATCCCGATCGATCGGCGTCTGTCGACTGTCACGGCTCGTGCGGTGAACTCCGCAGAAAGTGTATTTGGAAAAAAAAACCACAGATCTGGGTCCCGATACGAAGGCCGAAGCTGTCACGAATCCGACGAAACTCCAGCACGATATTCGGCGGCAGCACTGGAGACCGGGCCCGCACGCTAAGCCTAAATGAACATCAAATAAGTTCATTTTTCATAGCAAATTGTTGCATTACTAGCAACAAAAAGGGAACTTCTCGTCATCTACAAGTCAAAGGCTTCCATTTGGTCGGAATACTTTTTCCTAACGCACTTTTTTTTCTTAATGCGGCTACACGGGTGGGGAAAGAGAAACGGGATGAAATTCGCTTCTTCAGAAAATGAAATTCCGTTTTCTTTTTCGACTCCAGGGAGACGGGGTTTTAATTTTGTTGGAGCGATTTTGTATCGAAAGGGTATTAAGCTTGCCCAGTTTTGTAGAATTGGTAGTTCCCTGAAACTTGATACGCGCCCAAAGCGATTTTACAGTATGTAACTTTCCCTATCGTTTTTGCCAGTTAGTCATTTACACCTCGAATCCATCCTAGTTCACGTTCTCTTCAGAGCGACTCAACACCTAATCAGAAACTGAGTCCCGATAGCGAGAAGATACTCACGTCATCGCCGGGAGAGGAACGGCAACCGAGACGGAGAACGTCGGAGGAGGACTAAGGTCGGTGATCCCATATGAAGCCGATGAAGGCCTCCCCCCCCCCCCCCCCCCACCCCCTTTCCCCCTCTTCCCCCGTCCTGCAATGCTCGTGTGATCCAAAGTCTCTTTGAAGCGTTCGAACTTTCGTCGAAGGATGAACCCGGTCGTGCTGGGAATCCTGGCAGTCCTGGCCGTCGCCTGCCCGCTGACGGCCCATCCCCACCTCGACGACCTCCCGGACATCCCCCGGTTCCCCGGCGCCTTCCCGCCGGAGCGGAAGAGACCGACGAGAAGCGGCGAGACATTGCAGGCCTGCGGGGACGCACTCCTCACGATCGCTCACTGTGTCTGCAGCGGGAGCCTCTCCATCGGCAAGAGGAGGGTCGACTCTTGGGGTACGTCCGTGCAAAATAAATCACACAGCGGGAATTCACCTGTCCATTAAACCATCGACCATCGGATTCGATGTCGTCCGGATGCTCCTTTCGCACAAATTGAGTCCCAAAATATTTTGGGGGGGGCTTCTATAACCGTTCCTGCAAATGCTTGAAGCAAAATTCTTATTTTTTCCAATTTTAAATCCATCGACGATACGAGATTCCTCATTGTTTCATATTTGCAATTTTTAGCTGTATCCTAAGGGATAAAGTCTTTCAGCTTTCCGCAGCTTCACGGCACTTCTTGGCGACCTCGTCAAGAAATGCCGACGGATTTCCACGCACCATCGAGGTCGAAACTCGAGAACCTTGATGTACATTTTCCTCCGTGAGTAAATCGTATCGTCCCGACAGCCTGGAGACCGGACGATCACCAGCGTCCCTCGACCGACCCGGATTCGCCGGATTCGCCCGGCCGGATCGACCGGCACCGACGGACCCCCCCGGCCCCCTCCCATCGAAGAATGGGCCACGGAACGGCGAAGCGCCAGATCGCGACCACGTGCTGCCACCGGCCCTGCACCATCAATGAGCTCATGGAGTTCTGCGAGAAGTAGCCTCCAAATCATTCCTCGTCGTTGGGTTGCGTTACGATCTCGTCGCACTCCCTGGCATGCATTTCAAAAAGACGCTGGTGAACCGGTCCACTGGGAAATAAAGTTTCTCCTGAACTCTCCGCCGATCGCATCGCTCACTCTCTAATCGGATTCCACCGAATCACCAAGGCGATGAGGGCTGATGCAACAGGCATTTGCATGCAACCCAAGTAACAGATTTGAATCCTGGGCTTGTATCACGTGGTTTCGTGGAATCGCCTCTGGCATTCTGTGAACCCTCCCTTCGCCGAGACAATGACGCGGAAGCATTGGATGTGCATATTTATTTTTCTTAAAGTACTTATTGCACCGGTGTTGGTAAAGCCAGTGTTGACATACCAGTCGTTCCATCGTCCGTATTGACTCAAATGATAACTAGATGAAACTGGAACTACGAATTCTGTATTCCTGTCGCGGATTCACTCTGTTCTAAGCGGGGAACAATTAAGTTTCCTCTATAAATGGACCCATACCTAAACATGAGCAAAAGGCAGCATATTTGTAAACCAAAAATTTAACAAAATTTTTTGTTTCTTCACTTTTTAACGAAAAGTTGGCAAACTACTATTAAACCTTTTGGTGTAGAAGTCGCTCCACTCGGGTGGATTTCGACAGACCCATCCTCATGCAATCGAAATTTCCGATTTTTTTTTTAATTATGCTGCTGGAGTGAGTGGGTGGATGGATTGATGGAAGGGTGACGAAGGAGGAGGAAAGAAGAGGAGAGAGGATATGAAGGAGGGTCCAAAGCCGCTCGATTCCACTCCAACCTCCAGCTCTCGGCATCGTTCGATGTCGATTTGCCCACTCTAAACATGGGGTCAAATCGAATTTTCTCTCTTCTCGGTTTCTCAGGTAAAGAAGGAGAGAATTATAAGCGATTCGGGAGGAAAACCAGAAAATTTCTGCCCTCCTACGGTTTCGAGTCGAACGCGAAACTGAAAAGCATTTCTCAAAACTCTCTCTGAGTCGTCGAGGAACCTCGATGGGTCGAAATGCATGGTGGGCGCCGTCCGGCTCATGCGGGGATGGCGGATGTCGGGGATCTCGAAGCGTCGTGTTGCGGGTGCGGACCGCCGGTTCGTGCGGTGAACTCGGGACTAAAATGCCTTTGAAAAAAAAAAAGAAGAAAGATCCGGGGACCGATACGAAGGTCTAAGCAGTCAAGAATTCGACGAAATTCCAGCACGATATCTGGCAGCACTGCAAGGGTGGCCCGCACGCTGAGCCTAAACGAACAACAACTAAGTTCAATTTTTCATTGCGAACTGATGCATCGCTAGGAACAAAAAAGGAACTTCTCGTCGTCTACAAGGCAATCCCTTCCATGTGGTCGAATACTTTTTCCTGAAGCACTCCAGGAGTGCTTCGGGAAAACCGGGGAGAAAAAAAAGGTGCAATGCTCCACCTGTAAACTGTGTGACGGGACAATACATGACTCAGAGGATTGTTCAGAAAAAAAAAATACAATATTTTCAACACTTACTGTAGTCCAATATCAAGAGCTCATGAACCTGATATTTTTTCCTCGAATACGCGAATCATTCCCCTTTGAAAACGGCGGAGCATTTTTTAAATCACCCTCGGTCACCCGGTCCGCAACAGCGCCATCTATCGGGATACAGCGCCATCTTGCGGAAGTGAAAAAAAAAAACCTCTTAGACTCATGGACCTCTCTGCGAAGTATCAGCTGGATCCAGCTGTCCCTCGAAAAGTTACAGTTCATTGAAAACTGAAACGGCCGAGCACAGGTGATTCCACCTCACTTGAGGCGGAATGATCCACCTCACTTTCATCACCATCTAACTTCGGCAAATATCGATGGCGTCTCCAATGTAATTTTTTATGCTGCATTTATGAAACTGTATTTCTCCCATAGAAAACGGTAGAGCTTTTTTTTTTAATGTTCCCAGAGGCAGCTTTAAAGGAATTTCTATTAAAACATTTCGGTCCAATTGAAAAAAAAAAAAATTTAGTCGCACGGAGACTCAAGTCTGATTTCCTCGTAAGACCCCGAATGTCCTTTGGTGAAGATTCATTCCGTCGAGCTCGACGAGTCGCAATTTCCTTCCCCCTCCGACCCGCCATGATCTCCACCCGACGGCCGGATTGCGGCTCGCCCACGACTGACGGCCCGAGATTCATGCATTGAGATGAACGCGTGGAGGGCAAATCAACTTTCATCTATTTTTGGGATTCTTTCCCTCGTAACTGGAGGAATGTGGAGGAATGTGGAGGAGTGAGGAGGAATGTGGACTTCCCTAATTTTTCTTTCACGAACGCCTTTCGCGGCCAAAGGAAGAGTCTCGCCGTTCGGTTTGGTAATGCATGCCAATTCAAGCAGTTCACAAGTCGTGGATCGTAATCGCGAAGGGCGAAGAAAGGATGAGGCATTCGACGGGCATGTCACCCATCTTTTTTCATCTGCGAAACGCCCGTCGGCCTTCGACCGGTTCGGGGTTGGGAATCGCTCACCGGCCGAAAATCGTGTCCTTTGTCCTTGGGGGGACGAAGGACGCGAGACGCTTCCTGATTCGGGCCGATGGGAGTCTCGAAGAGTCAGGGGGAAATCGCAAGGGGAAAATGCTGCGAGCGGCTGATGTTCTCTCGATTCCAGCGAGGCGCCATTTGCTTATCCTCCCCGGTTTCATTCGGGTTTTAGCTACAGTGGTCTCACAGTGGTCTCACAGTGGTCTCACAGTGGTCTCTTGAGCAGGAAGGACCCCTCCTCGCCACTTAGTCCAATATTTCAAAAATGAGTTTCTCCCACATTTTAAACAAGCACATAAACGGAAAAACGATTTTATTCTGTGAGGTATATGCATGAAAATTTGTACAGACACAATGTCTCATTACCGATAAGTGCATAAAAAATGAGAACCTATGGAGCGGTAACAACCGAGTTACGATAATTAGATCACACAACGAAAAATTCCATGTTCCAACAGACAGGAGTCAATAGCCGCCGCCTTTTTATTGGCTTCACTAATTTGCAAGTTGCAAAGCACATAGATCAATTTCGAATGGGTATTCGGAATTTGCATGGAAAATTACGTATAGTAACGTATTTTCACCTTCTAATTTACTATTGTAATTTAAATATTGACGAAAAACGGTGTTACCTTTGTCCACCAGTGTCGTTCCACATTGCCAGAATATTGCCCGAATATTGTCCGAATATTGTCCGAATATTGACTGCCAAGGAATATAAATATTTGACCATTATTGGGAGTTACTATACTGGAACTAATATTGGGCCGATGTTGGAGCTGCTGTCCAGGGGTCCCTTCGGGTCGGATCTCCGAACGAGTCGACTCCCGATTCCGCTGCCACGAAGCACGCCTCATTGGAAGTGCTGTTGAATAAAAAGCCACCAGATGTCTCTGTAAGATTTCTTACAGAGTGGGGTGGAGACTGGGGTGGAGACTGGGGTGAAAGGTTGTCCCTTGGCCCCACGTTATGCAAATACCAAACCCCCCACCCACGTTACGTTGGATGTCCACATTCGGCCAAAATTAAAGCTGACGCGAGATGTGACTCTCAGGTGGTTACAATCGGCCTAAAGTCAGCTTCTGCATTTGTGCATGACCGTTCTGCTCGGGACGAGAACTTGATTGCATCCATCACTCATCCGGTTCCTCCACGGTGCTGGAAAAATTTTTAAATGTTGCATCCTTTGGACGATCTCTTGAATCCCAAACGGATCTACATCCGTCTATGGGGATACAGACAAAACCCCTGCAACCGAATGCATCTCCTTTTATCCTCACCAAATCACGTCAGGCCCATAGATGAACTATCCCAGACAGCCCCCACCCCCACCCCCACCCCCACCCCCAACCCCCCATCCCCCCCGCACTTTGAGCCAAGTTGGCTGCGAGTAGGGGAGCATGGGTCCACATCGCAGAGGGCCGCCTACGTAGCGGCGCAAAGGCTATAGCACACATTTTCCCTATCTCTGCCCGAGACATCTATCTCAGTTATGTGAATAACAGAGCTTCTCGCAACTGAAGCGAGATGGCGGCTACGTAGCTGCCAGTACAGGGGGATCGTTGGAGACTGTTTTTGGCTCTCCTTTAAGGTGGGAATAGGTGAAAGACAGGATTCTGGCCGGACGAGCACTTTCAGAGCGGGAAAGGAGCCATACGAGCGTTTGATGAAATTACGATGGGGTTCAAATCCCGAGCGGGAAAGTGAAGGCCTGCGAAGATGGCAACGGAGGGAAGGAGCACTCGCTGGAGCGCTCACAGCCAGGCCGAGAGAGACTCGGTGGCCGAGACCCTGATGGAGGAGCCGAACGTCCGAGCATGAGTGCTCGCTCGAAGCCTTTCGGCCCCTGGAGGCCATGCCGCAAGTCGGCATCTGATGTCGGCGTGAGCCGCCTGGAGACGCTGGTCTACTCGTGGTCGCTTGGGAATGCGACGCGACGAGATCGGGTGCTGTCGGCTGAAGACTGGAAGACGAAGACAAAAGACGGAGATCTCCATGCCATCCGGTCTGGAATAACGCAAAACTGCTTGGACACGAACGACACAATCACGGACGCGAGTCCTTCACGTGGCATCACTAATTAGGAGGCTTTAAGACTCGGATCCAGCCCGATTCTACAAATTAATTAGCGACACAATTATCCCCATCATGGCGTTCTCCGTGGTTCTCAAACGCCGCCTCGGGGCCCCCCCACGATGCAGACCTTCCCATTTTTTTTTTTGCCAACATCCCGGAAGTACTGTGGGGAAGTACTGTGGGGAAGTACTGTGGGGAAGTACTGTGGGGAAGTACTGTGGGGAAGTACTGTGGGGAAGTACTGTGGGGAAGTACTGTGGGGATTCCGGATCGAGTGTGGCCTTCATCGACGGACCGGGTCAGCATCTGTCCCTTTTTTTCGTGCTACGTTGACCCGAGATCTGTCTCTCGTGATTTCGATGTGGGTCTAGGAAGCAAATCAATCGCCTGTAATATCGGACCAAAATCTCATCTTAACCCAGAGACTACATTTTCTTCAAAATTCTTTTAAATCTATTTGTGCTTTGATAATTCGATAATTTTTTTTTGGGTGGGGGGAAGGAAGAAATTAGGAGAATTTCAAAGATTTTGATAATTTTCCAAGTTCGAGTTCACTCCACTCGCATGCACTTCTATCCCCATCCTTATCAAATCGTCTGCATGTTTCTTTTATTATAATGATAGAAGTGAGTGGGCGGATGAATTGATGGAAGTGTGACGAAAGGAGGAAGGAGGAGGAGGACAAGGGGGGGGGGGAGGAGGAGGATATAAAAGAGGATCCAAAGCCGCTCGAGTCCATTTTCCAGTCCTCCAGGTCTCGGCATCCTTCTTCGTCTCGTCCTTCTCGTCATCGAAGACGTGAGTGTCTACCCCGCCGTTTTTAGCTCGTTGCGCGTCGAGTCGCTTTCGGTGGATCACAGGGGCAGGTTCGTCTTTGAGGTCTGAGGACCCCCCCCCCCCTCCTCCTCCCCCACAAATAGGGGATGAAAGCAAAAGGAAGTACCGGTAAGCCTCATTCTGACAGGGTGAACCGTGGCCGATTAGGACGGCCTAATACCAGCTCTTCGTACTAGCGCTACGAGGTATGAGGTTTCCAATCATATGTAAAAAATATGACTGTAACCGCATGTAGCACGCAACTGATTGAAACCCAGGCTGCCCATCTTACGGCATCCGTTTCGTATATCATTTACCATATCTTATAGCGATATTTAAATTGGAGTCGGTCGTTTCTTTTGCTGCCTTTCCTGATCTTAAGGAGAGCAACTCCGAAAAAAAAAAAAACTCGCAGTTCTGCACTTCCTCCGAAACCATCTTCGCCGCATCTTCGGCAACTCCTCGGGGGTCGGCGAAACGGACGGACCCGATCTGAAGAGTCGGTCGGGGGCGACTGCACATCGAGACGAAGGAAATCCGTTGGCGTTTCGGTCTCTCTCTCTCCGTCTCTTTCTCTCTCGAACGTTTTGAAAAATCCCTGGCTGTTGGCGATGAGAGGCTGAAGGGAATGAACGGAAGACAACCTCAATGCTTCGTGTTTAAGCAGAGGCCACGATTTATATATCTAATCACGCTAATTTGATCATTTTCCCGGAAAACTTGTGAGAAACAATTCATTTAGAAATAATTAGATATACTTCGTTTATAAATAATTTACTTAGAAGTTATTTATTTGGATAATGATTTACCTAATGAGCTCTGCCCCTATAGTGCTGCGCCTGCCACGAGAGATTCCGCTGCAACGCCTCTTTGGTCTTACCGTCCTCGTCAGATGATGCAGTCGGTCGCACTCGGGGCTCTGGTCGCGCTGGTGGTCGCCTGCGCCGGGGCAACTGCCGTCGTCCGTCCCGACTCCCGCGTCCAGGAAATCCTCCGCCCCGGCGACGACCTCGAGCGGGAAGCGGCGAAACGCGACGGAGACGGCGCGTACGTGCAGGGGTGCGGGGACCTCCTCGAGGCCCTGCTCGTCGAGCACTGCGGCGAGGGGCGAGGCAAGAGGGGCGGCGGGTCGTGGGGTACGTCGGCGCGATCGGGCGAGGGGCAGTCCGATGCCTGTCTCTTTGAACGTCGATCGTAGATGCTCGGTGATCTTCGTGTGAATAAGGATTGCGAGACCTCGAGAAAGGAGGATTTTTGTTTCACTTGACGAACGCGAATAGCGCTTTGAGACCTGCATTATCTTCAGTAGAAACGATGAATGCAGTACTAATTAATTTTAAATTTTATTTTCCATCCGATCCCCCCTTCCCCACTCTCCACCCCAAGTTGGGTCGTGGGGCGTAGCAATTTACTGCCAAAGGTATACCAACCTTCAATATGTTAAATAATGTCATTGGAGCATCTCGGGACATCAGTCATGAGACATCCGTGGAACGAGACTCCAAAGACATTATGCCATTGCGCCATATTTCCTCTGGCAAGGTGAGGTATGCTCAAAGATGCTCAAAGATGCTCAAACATCACGGTTGACGTCAATTTCGACTGTCATGACTGACATCCACAGCTCCACCCAGAGTTAAAACCCGCCGTAGTCTCCGCCTCTCGTCATCTCCCTACCCCCTGGCATCTTCGTGGAAACGGAAATTCGTTTCTCAATCCATATTCACTCCGAGAATGATTCGAGACCCGAGTTCCTCCTCGTCCTCGACCGCGGGATTCCTCAACCGACGTCGATTTTCTCCCGGCACAGATCGGCTCGACCAATCGGACCACCTCTTGGCGTCTCCCTCCCTCCCTCTCGTCTTCACAGGACCGGCGAAGCGCCAGGACCATCTGATCGTGCCCGTGTGCTGCTGGACCGCCTGCACCGTCGGCGTCCTCAAGGAGTTCTGCCTCTAAGGCTCCCTTCAATCTCCCCCCCCTCTTGGGGGGGGGGCTCCGTGTGACGCCATAAGGCATTTAAGATTGACCCTCGTTTCATTCTTTCCTTGGTTATTTCGATTCCGTGGGCTGACAAGTGTTGGCTCTTGTTTGCTCGTCTACTGTGCTGCCTAGAATGCCTTACCAAGGTCATCTGGAAAATAAAGGTTCTCTGGAAAAGTCGACGTGGTAAATTAATCGTTTTGCGTTTTTATCTTCATAAAAAGGCAATCGTTTGAACTTTATTTCCTTTTTCACATCAATATTAACGTTTATGTAGAGACGAGTTTTGACGAGCCTTTGACAAGTTATTTCCTGAAATGCCTCCGTAGTTTAAAATGTGTTAAAATTTGTTAGTGTTTCTGTGGGGAAGTCCATCGCGTTCCGATTTAGACCCACGGGATCATTCCGGGACTCCGACGTCCGGATCCGGTATCCAGGCGGGACTTGGTGGGTTCCGGTTGGAAATCGAAAGGAAACTCGGGAACGACACAAAACATTTATTTCTGGATTCATACGACGCAGGGCCTTCGTCGAACGAGTCGCATAACGCGGCCGCGGACGAAGGGCCGTAACGGTAACGGTCGACGAAGGGAGTCGCGGTTATGGGGCGGTTATGGGGCGGTTATGGGGCGGTTATGGGGCGGTTATGGGTCATTCAGGTCTCGTTCGGGCCTGATTCGAGTCGGATTTATTCGTATTTCCTAGTCGCAGAACTTTCAATCCGAGAGAGTCCAAACCTAAATAAAATTATTTCTACCGGTCGGAGAATTTGGAGGATGCACGGTTCGGAAGGTCTATGAGGGATTGTGTAGCAAGATTTATTGTGTAGCAAGAATTTTCGTGCAGCAAGAATTTTCCGGTCCTGAGATCCTAAAAAATTCGGGCGAGAATACTCACTCTATTTTTCTATATGGTTCACGAAGGACTTCTAATGTTAATTTTATTCCGAGTTGGATATTTAATTTCATGTAGCGCTTGTATTTCCAAATATCGGGACTCGCTAGAGACATCTAGCGGTTGACGCGGCACTCGCTTGTCAGGGGTCAATCCAGGGTTCCATCACCCTTACCAAGGTCACATGTCTTCTGGATTTCCACAACGCGACGCCGATTTTATATCGATCTATATTGGATCTCATAGGCATCCTATCGGTATCCAACAGGATTCCATGGGAAACTTATAGGTTACCTTCTCGCAAGGCCGAGGTTACAGGAGCAGAACGCTCACCTTGGCTTGGTTTAACTGAGGTTCCCATTGGCCCGTGCATTGTCCGCCTGTGCAGTAATCCGATGCGGATGACATCCTACTGTCCTTTCGCTTTCAGAAGGCGAAGCAGCAGGATGTTCGTGTAGAAATAAGGTTACCATCATGGATGTAAGGTGGCACCTCAGTCGCCGTGCCTGTGCGTCGCCTATAAAGAAACTAAACCACGCCTCTACAGTAGGATTTTTTACATAGAGCACCTGATGTTTTTCCTTCTAACAGCAAAACGTAATACATTGGAATCCAATGATATTATTATTTAAAGATGAAAGTCAGCCCAGGGAGACGCCTGGCAATGCTGGCTCCAAGGAAGGAGGAATAGCGATTTCGACCTCAAGACAAATCCATGACGCTAACTGTGCAAGTCTGCTTTCTCCATAGAGTAGAGAAATGCTGAGACGGCAGTCCGCTCGAATCCCATTCATCGACAGGTTCGCAATATAGATGTCGCTGTCGATCCTCCACCTTGCGTGCGCACATCAACAACTCTTTCAACAGCGGACTCAACACGACAAGCGTGTTACGTCGAGGGATCCCTTCGGGTCGAATCCCCGAACGAGTCGATTCCCGATTCCGCTGCCACGAAGCACGCCGCATGGAAGTGTTGCTGATAACAAGCCACCAGAT